AGGAACGTTAGCGAATTCTCCACAACTATCAATAATCTGGACATTATCGTAAACCGAAGAAGACCAAGTGATATCAACATGCGTAAGAGACATAATCCTTTGAGACCACCTTAAGCAATCCTTGTTTTTCCTAAAAGCAGATGTCTGAGGTAAGTGTGAAACGAACCAATTATACAGCAGAGGTAGACAGCAAACAATGGTACCGTTTCCCTTAGAAGTTCTACTATGGATGGAGAAATAAGTATCACCAAGCAAAGTTGGAACAGGGTTCCCAATCAAGAAAATCCTAATAGCATTAACGTCCACAAAATTATCAATATTAGGAAACAAGACTAGTCCATAGATGAGTAAAGCAAATATAGCCTCAAACGCCAATGTGCGACCAATGTCAGCAAATAAAGTAGCCTTCTCAATCAAGAACTTAGCAGTTAAACCCTTGAGGCCTCCCTTAGTCTTTAGATTTGCATCAATATCCGACTTCGTCAAATGGGTAGCTACAGCAATATCTTGAGGCTTAAGAGCTTCCTCCAAACCAGTATACGGAACTTTATCAGAAACCGGTACACCCAACAAATAAGCATATTCTTCCAAGGTCGGCATGAGCTGATAATCGGGAAAAGTGAAGCATCGGTAAATAGGATCATAGAACTGCATAAGGGTATTCAGAATTCCGTCTTCAATATTGGTAGAAAGAACAAATAAAATTCTCCCATAACGAGATAAGAAGCCTGAACGATCATCTACCAAGGACACTAGCTTTCTCAACTTTGTAAGATCAGGAGCCCGAAAACTGTACTTCTGAGTGTTTCTCCTTCCAATGTCCATAATCAACAATATCTGCGATGTTTGTAAAAGAAAATCTCTGAGATCCTTAAAAACCAGCTGAAACACAATGCTCATGAATGCATGAGTGCAAGATGCAACACCCACAAACAAGACATACAAAGCACACAGGTTCAAAGGTTCGGCACGAGCATGGAGCCAAAGGTAAGAACCAACCATCCCACAATGGTATGTACTATGGTTATATCATCACCTGTAAAACAAGGTTCTAAAAAGTTCCCAGAATCATAATTCCATCTTTTGGATATTATCGGCTTAAACGACTACTCGTCGGCCAACAATATTCTCAAGAGAAACTCATCTGAGTGTGGTATCGCGTAACGACTAATTCAAGTCTACACCTGAACAACCACCGCACCACGTCCTAATAAGGCCAAGATGGGTTAAAGGGTTCTAAGGTCCTCAGCTTCTCAGGCTCCCAGTCGGAAAAAAGTAATATCAATTACGACTACTCGTAAGACATCAGTAATTTCCAAAGGGGCCTCCACCGAGCGGGGGATCTCAAGTCAGCTTAGTAAGGACTACTCCATGTAAGCCAACAAGACTATACCACCCTCCTATCATAAGTGCACTCAAGTCCGGGTTAGGACTTATCTCACCACACAAATTACCAGGCACCAAAACAGAACAATCAATAACAAACAAGTCAAACAGAAAGCGATAAATAAATCAAAGTAGGCGAAACCCACTAGGAACCGTTGGAGTCCCCAGCAGAGTCGCCACTTTTCTGTAGCGGTAAAAATCGTGAGCGTAAGCTATTGATTAGCTTAACTCAAAAAACAAGAGTCGCCACCGCACTTTTATTTTATCCAGATAAAGGAAAGGAAAAAGAGCGAACAAAACCAAAGAGTTCTAAAATAAGAGCACGAGACAGAGATCGGGGTAAGGGGGTTGGTTACGCAATGGGAAGGTGTTAGCACCCAAAACGTCTATAGTACTCTATAGGAGCCCTTTGAAATATTTACGCTTTTTGGTTTGAAAATGGTTTGTTTGAAAAGAGATTGGGGAGATGAGAAGAGAATTATTTTTTATATTTTTGTGTTTGGAGAGACTTATCGTCTCATGCCTACGTACTCATAAAGTGCAATATGGAATCAAAACCCCGTAGTTCGTGGTACAAATGACAAAAATTTGTTGGTTTTGATTGATTTTAGATGTAAAGACAAGTCGTCATTTCAAGGAGAAAACTGCGACTATCCACCCACGAGTATTAAGACGACATCTGCGTCACATAAAAATGGAGGATTTGCTTGGATTATCAACAAGACTATCACTCAACATCAACATGGAAAATGTCAAAGTCTTAATAATATGGGGAATAGGAGATTTACATCTCAACTATAGAAATGAATCATGTCTAAACTTTATGAAAAGTTTTAAAGTGAAAAAGTGCATAAAGGCACAAAAAGAGTTGATGAGTTTTTGTATTTTTTATGTCTTTTGAAATTGGTCAAAGCATGATTAACATTGATTGACTTTTATTAAAAAAACAAAGTTTAAAAATCACTTGACGAAAGTCAAGGTTTTATTGCGAAAGCGGTTTTGAAGTTTGAAACCAAGAAGGTTTTGAAAGAGGGAGAAAGTTTTGAAAATTTAAGAAGGGGAGGAGATGAAGTGACTATCCTAAAAACCAAAATAAGAGCTAGAGATAAGAAAGATCTAACCGACTTGTAGCACACTCCATAGCAAGCAAAAAAGAATTCCATCCGATTTAAAGCATAAGCTAATAAGCGAGCCAAATAAAGGCTAAGATCCACAATACTCCAAGCATAGGAATGAAAGCCCTAATTCTAAGTCCAAAGGTCCATAAAGTCCAAGGTCTAAGAGTAGTCCAAGAGCATAACCACAAAGTTAATAGCACCAAATTTTTTAGATGTTTTATCCTTTATTAGTGTTTTGAACAAAGTATGGTCCAAGTGGACAAAAGAGAAATGACATAAACATAAACAAAGATATGATATGAAATGATAAAATGGAAGCATAAAAGTAAGAAATAAGGAGTAAGAAGAGAATATAAACAAAATTAAACAAGGATATTGTTAGTGAATTAGTGGTTAGTGGTTAGAACATATGATCAATGATGATTAATTCTTGCACTTAGACCAAGATTAATGAAAATTCATTAGAGGATTGATAAAATCAAAGCCTCCTAACAATGATTTTCATAGGTATTAGAGTTAAGACAAGCAACTAAACATACTTGGACTTTTAAACGTAAGTTTGAGCCACGAATGATCATTTTCCGATTAAGGGACACTTTAGCGCTATGTTAAGCAATCGTAATCGGGTTTATGTAGAAACCACGACTATCTGAGGCCGGTCAATAAAATGTTAGTGTTAATGCATGTTAGAGAAGTGATATGTAAATCACTCTCCTAAAACATGCCACACAAAAAGAAAAGAGGTAGTGATCTCATCATAATCAAGATTTTTAATCAATTAATCAAAGGTAATCTATCACTATTCCAAAGTACGGAGAATTATCTCAATGATTATTCATCCATAGATTTGAAATAATGAAGATTAAACAACCTTGATAATCAACAATCTATGATCCATAGATTTCATCGATCAAAAATAAAAAGAAGAAGAAAGAAAATAAAAAATGAAAAGAAATCACAATTTGAATCTTAAATCGATTAAATTATCATCAATATCAATCACCTCTCTTGGTGGATAAAAATCAACACCCAAAGTCCATTGATATTGATGAAATCCTATCAAAATTCAAGATCCAAAACAACCAACACTTAATCAAAATATTTTCAAATAATTTTTTTTTAAGAGCTTTTTCAAAAATGAAATTAAAATACAAATTTAATAATAAAAAGAAAATGTGGAAAAGTCCACACGGTTAAATTCTGAAGAGAAATAAAAAGAAAAATAAAATAAAATAAATGAAAAGAAAGATACAAATGAAAAGAAGAAAGAGAAAACGAAACATAATCATCTTCTTCTTCTAGCTCTCACACGCGAAAACATTCACGGCCATGGATGCTTGCTTAAATCACAACGGCGGGACGCGAAAAATACGCGGTTGCAATCGAAATCAAGAGCTCTTCACAATGGTACCAACAATTCAAAGAATCACAACAAAAGGTAACGGATCGAAAATGACGGTGAAGCTCAATCTACCTTCAAACTCAGGTGAATGATGAAATCGAAACTCTCTTCTTCTTTCTTCTTCTTCTGGACTGCGAAATTCTGATTGTTGTGTTGAAGAAATTGAAGTATGATGAGTTTTTAGGTGGAAAGGTTGTGAATGAAAAGAGAGTTGAATCTGATGAAATTTGAAGAACGGTTGAAGGTGATTTTTGAAAGTGAAATTTGAAGGAAATTTGAGGAGTTATGATGAAAATTCTGCAGGGATTAATTGGCTTGAAAAGCTTGAAAAATAGAGTGAGGTGGGTGTTCTATTTATAGATGAGAATGAGTGAAAATGATTTGCCGTTTGTGAGATTTTTTTGCGTTTTGGTTATTTGATGTGGGTTGTGCGTGAACTGTTACTGAAACTTTTTCATGTCGTTTTGGACTTTTTCTTCTTTTAGCTCACTTAAGTGACGTGGAAAGCTTGTGGGGTCAGCTTGGAGTGTAACATGACTGAGATTATATTCACATGGCTTGCAATATGGCTTGGATAAGTGATGAATTGTTTCTTCAGCTCAACCTCAATTTCGAGCCGTTTTCGCTCTGTTTTCAAGTACGTGACGTGGATTGGCTCTCATGGCTTAATTACGGTTTAGATTCAATTTCGTTTGCATCAACTTTAGCCTGTTTGACCAGAAATCTTCCTTGCCACTGGTTTGTTCAGATGAATTATTTAAAGCAGGAAACATATCTGATGAAATGAAATCCAGATTATCCATATTCTGATAAAATTGTGATGGGCTCTGCTGTGAACCCATGGAAGCTGATGTTGCCTCCAGAGACAGGAAAGGTTTTGAGGAATCAACCTCCAATCCATCTGATTGCCGAACAATACTATGCTGGGAAGCAGCAATAAGAAACATATCCTTGAATAAAGGCTCGCTGAAATAGCTCTTGCCTGTTCTTCGAATTGGTGGTATCGCTCCAATGTCCATTTAACAAATGTCAATGCAGCTGTGTTGAATTAAGTGTAAGTGGTACCAATGAAACAAATATCCTATGTAGTTATGTCATTCTACAATTGAAGTCCTTTTCTCCAGTAGAGACTCCAAAAATTCAGAGCACAACTTGGAGAGGGGTGGCAACATATGTGATGACCCGCTAAATATGGTTTCCCAAGGCCTATTTGATGCAGCGGAGGAAACCGATGAAGTTTTGTTCCTTTTTAAATCAAACTTGGGTAATTCTCCATAAATTGATGTATATCCAAATTGTCCATTTTCTTCAAGCCCAACAAAATCATCATTCTTAGTCATATTAAGCCCGTGTGCTTCCTTGTCAAATGGATCAAAGAGGACATATTCGCGATCTCCATTTAAATACGTAAGCAGTGTTTCTGATGATTTTCCATCTGCTAGTTCAGATGGATTTCCTTTAAGAAAAGCAACACTCCCTCCCTTGGCCTTCGTTACAGACCAAGAAGCCACAGGAATAGGATCTGTTGCGTTGAACACTATGATTATTCCATCACCTTTAAACAAACTTTCATTTGATTTGGGAAGGAGACCAAGGATTGCAAAAAATGATAAATCTAATGCACAGGAAACAGCTTCTATGTGAAGCCCATAAGACCAAGAAGCAGTTAACTCTGACATACTCCAAACAGATAGCTGTGGTGTGGAACCATGAGAAACAGAAAGAAAATACTCGGACTTTTCAACAAAACTGAGCCTCCCGATTGGCGATGGAGTCTCTCCTACAACAGCAATGAGCTCATTCTTGACAGGATCCCACAATGTAATAGCAGTGTCTGCTGCAATTGCAAGCACAGAACCATCAGCTGAAAAAGCAGCAGCTCTCATTTTTATATGACCCAACAGCATGGCACATCCAACTAAAATTCTGTAGTGTCTGGTCTCCCAGTAATCCCATAACCATTATAAGCAGAATGACAAGCAATACTGAATTTTGGTTAATGAGCGTTGATTCAATCCATTCAATTCTAATTCTCCATCAGGCTCGGATTCAGTATCAAATGTGTCAAATTTGAAATCTTCATTTCCGCCACTTTGATCTTCCTCTGATATTAAAGCAGCTATAAGACGTTGACAGAGAGGTACCATTTTATGATCTCCCTTTGGTGGTGGTAATTTTTCTGTATTAGTACCAGCACTGCCTTGAACATTAGATCTGACATCTCTTTCCCAGCCAATCAACCCATATCCATTAACAATGGTTTCACCGCCATCTATATATTTAGGAACTGGAGTTGCCATCTGAGTGCTTGATTCAAGATTTACCTTCTGCTTCCAGTAAGTAATATCTTCATCAGGTATTTGTGGACTTCCATGAGGTACAAATCTAGCTACATTCGATTTGGGGGTACCTAATTCAGAAGCCAGCGGAGATTCTGCTACAACCACTGATTCTTTGTCGGCTGCAATAACAGGAAACGAACCCCTCCCACCAGCTTTTTCTCCTATTGGGGTCATATCTGTAACATCTTTTTTTGGACGAATTTGCCACTAGATCTACATCAAGAGCTACGCTTTTCCCATCTGTAGATACATCATTTCCCTTGTGATCATGATCAGAAGATGATGTGTTTCTTGCATCCTTATTTACGAACTCAAAAACTGGTGTGTTCATATTACCAGTAGGCTTAATATTCACACCCTTTTCAGTTTCAAGAGGGCTACCAAATGTGGCAGATAGTCCACACTTATTATATGAAGGATTGGCAGGACAACCTCCAGTCTCATGCAACTCATTGTGAGGATCTGAAACAGAAGACGATATGGAACCTGATAATTTCGAGTATGGCTTGTCATGATGCTCTTGTATTGCCACCTTACCATCCTTAATAAAAGAAACAGTAACCTCATCACCTTGTTTCTCATTTGATTCACATAGAACAGCAACAACAGTAGCCTCTTTTGTGCACTCGTGATCAACCATACCACTTAGTATTTCTTGAGGTTCACCAATACTTTCAGTAGCACTAATTTCCAAATTATGCTGACAGATGTTGTCTGTCTCACATAGTATGTGTCCAGTACTGTCGGATTTTTTATTTTTGATACCAGCAACAGGACAAAGATCAACTTCCAATTTAGAAAATCCAACAGGAAGAGAAATGTCTGCTTCCTCAACTATTTGGGCTTCAAAGTCTTCCTTTTCATCAACAGAAGCAACGTCAACATGCTTCATCCTTTTAAGCTCATGGTGATCTGAACTATTGATGGGCATGACATCAGAGGCTACTGTTGCATGCACCAAGAGATGATGAACAAACTCCCCCGTTAGCCAGATGGGATGGATCAACATCATGATGAATTGTGCTTGAATCTAATGGAGCCTTTTCAGTCCCTTGGTCACTGACAGAAATAGCTTGACAAAAAAAATTTATGCTCACCCTGCTTGTTAGATTTGTTATTTTCACATACTTGAGTAGTCTCGCCCAAAATACAAGACTTAGTAGAAACCACTGGATTGAAACTGAAAACGCTTGCTCTGTTATCACTATTTCCTTCGCTAACTACAAAAGTCTTGCTATCCACCACAGCAAGCATAGATGCTTCTGCCTTACTTAACAAATCATCTGTATCCATCTGGTTACCAATGTTGAACAACTCCTTTTCCTTGGAAACATTGCTCTCGCCAAGTGTCTTCTCAATCGTATCCATATTCAGCTGATAATTAGGGCAAGTTCCACAATCAGAATTACTAACCTCAACTTTATGCCCCTCAGAACTAGAATCATCTTCTATGGCAATCTTTGGTGTGTCACTTGTACTTGATGCAGATTGATAATCTGTCAAAGGACCTTTAATCAAAAAAGCATCTTTATTTGCATTTCCTTGAGATAAATTTCTAAAACATGCATCTTCACTTTCTCTTTCTGTTTTCTGAAGGTTAGAAATATCATTAGATACAGTGTTCAAGGATTTCTCTGAAGTACTTATCCCAGTCGCCAAGCCATCAACTACACTCTCACCTTCCAAAGTGTCCTCCCTATGGATTAAACAAAGTGGATTATCAGACTAATTTGCTTCAGCCTCAACCGCACTGACATCTAAAGTTTGAGTGCCAAGATCAGAATTTTTGTTCTTCACATAAGACTCCAAATCCTGCTTACTAGTTTGTGATTGCAAAGAACTTTGGTTGTCATCACCAATAGCAACTATTCGATTTTGCATATTTTGAATTTTTAAGACTTCACAAGTAGAAGGGATATTCTCTGTGGGTGTCTCATTCTTTTTAGTCGTGACCACAGACGCAGATGAGTTATTGTTAGTTTTTTCATGGAGAAAAGCATCAGCTGGAGTTTCAACTTTCATTTGCGAGTTGATAAAGTCAACTTCAGATCTTCAATGTCACAGCCAATCAACTTGGCAGTGCTGAACAGCCCCTCAATTTAATTCTTGAACCAAAATTTGTCTTTGATCAATTTTGAATTAAGCTTGAGAGTGAAGCCACCCTGACTCCAAACAACATCTTCTTCAACTCTGAAAGCAAACCCGACAACTTTATCAATACATTGACTGCCTGAACATTCGTTTTTGAATTTCTTGAAAATTGCAAAGGCTTCCTCATTCAATTGTGCCTCTATAGCCAATACTCAAACTACAAGCCCGTCAAAATTATTGGATCTCTGAATCTTTGATTAAAACTGGTTCAAACTTCTCATAGAACACTGCTTGAAAGCTTGATGAATTTAGATACAGGACAAAACAACCTTGAACAAACACATTTCCTGAGAAAATAGTCCACTACCACTGGTAACTCATAATTGAAGCAGACTCTTGATGGTTTGACCAAGATGAGGTCAAACTTCCATCTGATTTAAACTTGAATGAATATCTTTGCCATTAATCTCCTTGCAAAACCCTAAACACACAGAGAAGAAGAAGAAACAAACAAATTAAAAAATATTTTTGGTATTTTGGTTAGAGGTTAGTAAACATAAAGCAAGTAGAAAACACAAGTGCGCTGAGAGAACCAAAAAGTATGGTCTTGTTTGTGTATGCAAAAATGAAAATGCAATGTGGGATCTTAGGGGTAAAAATTTGGGTATTACAGATGTGCCCTCGCTCACCACAGTTATAGCAAGTTACGCCCGCACCGCTTCTGCACTCAAGAGCCTTGTGGCCTGGCTTGCCACACTTAAAGCACGTCTTCTCAACACTTTTGCATTCGGGAGCACGATGTCCCTCTTCACCGCACCTATAACATCTCACCGGAGTAGAAACTCCCCCACTTGGCCTCTTGCCATAACCCATTCTCTGCTTCCCTTTGTCTGCAGGAGTTACGTAAGGTTTTCCTCTGAATTGTCCCTTTCCTTTCTTGTCACTTAGACTCTTGTAGTGGCTGGACCTAGCCCTACTGTCTTCGTCATAAATTCTGCTCTTGTTAACCAACTCAGAAAACCGCCTGATTTCCTGATATCCAATAGCTTGTCTAATCTCGGGTCTCAAACCATTCACAAACTTGAGGCACTTAGACCTCTCAGCATTACCAGTATTATAGTGAGGATAAAATTTGATCAACTCCTCAAACTTCGCCGCATACTCAGCAACCGTCGAATTACCTTGCTTTAACTCAAGAAATTCGATCTCTTTCTTCCCCCGCACATCCTCTGGAAAATACTTCTCCAGAAAGGTTTCTCTAAACAAATCCCACGTAATCACAATATCATCTTCCTCAATTCTTTGGCGAGTATTACCCCACCAATCTTCAGCTTCTTCTTCGAGCATATGAGTCCCAAACTGCACCTTCTGTGCATCCGAGCAATTCATAACTCGAAAAATCTTTTCCACAGCTTTCAACCAAATTTGTGCCTTGTCCGGTTCATGAGTTCCCTTGAAGACCGGAGGGTTATTCTTTTGGAATTTCCCCAAAGCACGGAATCCATCATCAGCATGATTCCTCACATTCACATTGGTCGGAGGATTCTGCCCAATTGCCCCCGCCAATCTCGTCAATGCCTCCGCAATCGCTTCGTCGTTCCTTCCTGCAACCATCTTACTCGATTCCAACCACAGAACCACGTAAGAACAACCAATATTGATAATGCAACACACTCATATCAATAACACACAGGAAAAACACTCTAACAACTTGGCCGGACGGACCGACCTGCTCTGATACCACTATTGTAACACCCCCTTCTATACCCCAAATAAATGCATATAAAACACTTAAGCATATACAGATTCATCAGAGTAAGAGTTTTAGAGTAAGGTATAAAAGAAGAATGTCACAACTTGACCAATAAAACACTTTAACATTTTGCTCCATAAAATATGTAACATTTTCGTAGTTTTAAAAATCACATTTCAACATTTAATTTAAGCGGAAGATAACATCATTCTATCGGTTCCAAAATATTAATTCAAATGCACATAAGTCATCCAGATTAATACATCATATCAGTTAGATTACAAAACCACATCAGCTGATACATCGCAATGTATCACAAAAGAATGACTATACTAGTCTAACTACCCGGTGTTACATATCAGAGCAGCAGACTCAAAAGAATGAAGACTAACTTCACAAAAGGACTCCAGCATCCTAATCTGCAATGCCTCATAGAGCATTATAAAACAGCAGAAGGGTGAGAAATATAACCATAATAATCAAAGCATGAGATTATATATGTAGGTAGTCATATAACACATATTCACATTTCTCACCACACTTCATCCTCATAATCATAATTATATCGTATTCACATATATCAACATTATGAACATTCACAAGCACATCCCTTCATGCTCAGTTCCACAATCATCCACAAGCACATTTATACAACAACAATAATATGCAATGCGACTCAACATATCCAATGCAACTCATGCAATGCGGTACCGACATTAGT